CTTTTGAATCAATATTGGTTGCAAGGAAAGTTACTGGATTTGGGATCAACAGGTGGCAGCTCGTTACAGCATGTTTATTTAAAAGATTTAAAGGATTTATATGGCCACCAATTCACAAAAGTGCAACTGTGGATGGCATACAGCAATAAAAACAGAATCACTTACTCCTCCACTTGCTCCATGGACTAGGACAGTTTCTCCTGCTTTGGCAGATCCTCTGCAAAAACATAAAGAATATTTTGAACATAACTACTGTGTGACAGTTTCACATTATGCGGCCCAAAAATCTAATGTTTATATAGCCAGGGAAAAAAACATCCATTTGAAATTATATTTAGTGGACTCTTGACAATTAAACTGGGATCAGTTCCGCATATTTTTAATTCCCTAAAAATCCTTTATGGCAACTACAGGTAGTCCTCATTTGGCAACTGCAATTGGAACCAGCAACTCAGTCATTAAGCAAAGCAGTCACTAAGTGAAACCATGACTATGCTTATGTTGCTAAACGAGGCCTACCTATATATTTAAGTGACTGTCACTATTTATATGTAAAAAATACAGTACAGGTAGTCCTTGCTTAAAGACAGCAATTGGAACAAGAATTTCCGTTGCTAAGCAAGGCGGTCATAAAGTGCGATGTCAAGTGACTGCATCATTTAGCAACAGCAATCCCAGCAGTCCTTGTTGCCATTGTTAAGCAAGGATCACGGGTCATTAAGCAAGTACCTATATGCAACTTCCTGTCAGCTTCCAACTAGCAAAGTCAGTGGGGAAGCCAGCAGGAAATTGCAAGTCCCAGGTAGCTCACAAGCAGGCTGGTGGGCAGGTAAGTGGCTGCTGCCAGGTGGGGGAGGGTGCACAGGCAACCAGTGAGGCATGAGCACATCCAGGCCAGGGGTGGCTGCTGCCAGGTGAGGGAGGGTGCGTAGGTGGCTGGGCCAGGGATGACTCCTGCTGGGTGGGGGAGACTTACCAGAGCGACGTGCAACCTTCCCTGCCAGCTTTCCCATTGACTTTGCTTGTGGAAAGCCGGCAGGGAAGGTCGCAGATGGCAATCACATGACCATGGAAGACTGCAACCATTGTAAGTGCAAGCCAATTGCCAAGTGCCCAGACCGCAATCATGTGGCCATGGGGGTGCATGGAAGGCCAGAACTTCAAGGACCGGTCGTAAGTACCACTAATTCAGCACTGTTGTAACCTTGAACAGTCACTGAATGAATGGTCATTAACCAAGGACTGCCTGTATGCCTATAGAATAATACTGTCACTGAGGTGATAAGCAAGAAATATAATATTAAGAAACAAAAAATATTCATTGTAGATCCTAGCCTTTCCAAACTTGGTAAGCCGCATTACAATTCTTATATTCCACAGCCAGCATTTCAGTTGGCTAAGCTTCTGGATGGTACTGGGATGATGCAGCCCATCCTCTTTGAAGGGCACTCATTTGGAAAATGCCAATGTATGTTATAAATTGTATAGATTTATATAAAAATGTATCCATGTATGTGTCTGTGTATCTATCTATCTGATCACTTGTATAATACCAGCATAGGTTAAATAACAAACCAACAACCAGAAATATGCTTGCTTGCTGCATTACCGACAAAACAGTATTGAATGAATGTCTCCAGCAACCTCTGTGAAGATTTGTTTTTATATTGTTACTTTTTCCTGAGGCTCAAAAAGGAAAAAGCACTTAAAAGTCATAAAGTGCTTACAATTCTAATTCAGGATGAATTAATAGGAGTAAATTTGGAAAGCAAGAAAGGATGGGGGGGAGTATGTCTTAGTTAAGACTTAAAAGTAGTTTTAGGAAATGGTATCTTACTTCTGAAAGAGGGCACGGTATGCAGTAAAATATGGAATTCCGATTGCAGCACCTTGCTTGAAGTCCAGTTTATCAGACAAAGGAAAAATGTTGTCAACTGATGTGACAGCATATTCAGCATAACCACCAGAAACAGTGCCCAGGGTAAAAACCCGGTCGCCTTTCTAACAGGAGCAAACAAATGCACGAGATTAATCTAAAGTTTGGGGGGAGTTGTTTCTGCTTTTTGCAAAGTATGCACACAAAAAAAGAATGAAATCCAGACAAATACAGTTAGAAGGGAAACATAAGGTGAACAAAAATGCATATATATCTTAAAATACCATTTGTTTTTAAAATACCAGCAAAACAACAAAAGTGAGATCCAACTTCCCAGATTCCCAGATTTTAGATAGATTTCAGGTAACTCTTGATGCCTGAAAACCCACCTACTTATATTAGTAGGCATATTATTTGGAAAGGACCATGCAGAATTTGTATTTCCCCCACAAAACCAAGGGGGAAAATTGGGCAGTGGTATCTTCTTTTAATGGGAATTCTAGCTATTAGCAGAATGATGCCACATTGCACACAGAAAATAAGGAAAATCAAAATATTCTTGGAACTCGACCATCTGAAGCTATTTCTTCAGTCCAGTGTGTAAATCTTACACTGTTATTCAGAGAAAAAGAGACTCTGGATAGCTAATAAAGGTAGGGCAAGCAATTCAAATAAACTTTTAAGTGGAAATCCTTAGTAAATACTGGATGGGGGTATTCAGACAACAAAGGAATAGTCAAATTTAAAAAAAAAAACAAGACTTTGAATGCAAGATGTAAATGTGCTTGAAATAATTTAGCTTTCAAAGGCTACACTTCAAAGACAAACTGGCAGTAATAAAATGAAGCGATGTAGCAAGGAGTGGCAACAAATCAAATGTCACACTTAAATTTGGGGAGGTGAGGTATGGGTATCAAAGCCAGAAAAATCAGATAAGAATCTATTTCCCAGGCCTAAAATTTTAATATTTTAGCGAAAGGAAGTGAGCAGCTAGCAACCCAATACCTTGAAAGCAGTTACATGTTCTCCAACTTCTTGTACTACTCCAGCTACATCTGTGCCTGGTGTATATGGTAAAGATGGTTTCCTGCTATAAGTTCCAGAACGAATATAGGTGTCTACTGGGTTAATCCCACATGCATGAACTTTGATGAGAACCTGGAGAAGAAAAAATATGTTTAATAACTCAGTTCAAACATAAGGAGGATACTTTTAGGTGTGCAACCCCATACCTGTCTCAGGTCTCTCAGATCAGAGATAAGACTGCAATCGCCCCTGATTTGGCTCCCTCCCCAGAGGCATTAAATCATAACCCCCAGCATCCACATGAACGTGTCAGTCATTGAACAAGACGACTTGGAGAAATATCTTCTCTCCTATAGTCCATGCCCCAAGAATCAGCCTATTTCCTTGCTATCATCCTACTAACTGGGAATCCACATACAACATGTCGGTGGAATATGTTCCAGACTCTTGATGTCAATGTCAATTATCCATATGCAAACGCTGGGTTCCTATTAAGCTGCAATTGCCATTATTTTCATTGTTTTACTTTCTGAAATGGAATTATTTGTATTATCCTCTCAAATTTTATTCAACCTGCAGCTCATTGTGCATTTTCATTATCTGAGTACAACCTCATGTTTAAGAATAGTAATAACAGTAGCAGTAGCAAAAGCAGAAAGATTCCATATTCTTTGTTTTTACCTGGTTCTCGTTTGGAATTGGTACTAATGTATCTAGCTGCAGTTTGAGCACTTCAGGCCCACCAAATTCAAACACTTTTATGGCTCTCATCAAATTTCTTCCTGTTGCCATGACAACCTGAAAATGCACAGATATAAAACTACAGTATCTGAATATCTGCTGCCTTTTTCACTTCAAAGAGAAGCAAATGACTTGCTCTTCAGCTGCAATTTAAATCAGTGGTTCTCTACCTATTTCTTTCTGTTTTAGTTTATATACCCCGTAGGGCCATCTGATTCTTAGCCCTAAAAGGATAAAATTCCACCCACAATGTGAAGAAATCATGAATCAAACATAGCAAAGTATGTATAAACAAATATATCACTTTGAACTGGCATCATTCATCACATCTTCCGAATTATTTACTACATTGCAAAGTTAACAGGACTTTGCAAGGGAACAAACAGAGTGCTAGATTAGGATTGGTGAGTCCTTACTGAACCATGAAACTCACAAGGAGATTACCACACAACATGACCCACCTCAGAGAATTGTGAAAATAACCAGAAGGGGAATACAACATGTGTTACCTTGAGCTCCTGGAAGGGTAGAATCAAAATACAACACAGATTGAAAGATCCTGGTTCCAATAAAATCTCAAGGAAGGCAAAATCAACAAACATTCAAATTAGGATAACAGTGGCTTTGATCTGACAGGCAAATAACTGGCACCTTCTTTTCCTTTGGGGACCAAAAGAAAACAAAGGCATACCTACAGCTTAATAATACTATTCATAACATAGGATGATTACTGTACAGTATGCTGAGTTCTGCTCAAATTCCATCCAAATGCTTATTTACAGGGAGAAATCTTTCCTGAACTCAAAATGACTGGGTTTGCAAACCATGCTAGCCTGCGATAAAATGAGCCACTGTTTTGTTAAATTGGATTTAGTGAATTATGTGATCTAGGCCAATAAAGGACAAATGTGCAAACCCTCCTCCCCTTTAGGTAAAATGCAAATAGTCCTCGGTAGATGAACACATAAATAGCAACAAAGGGCTAGGCAGTGTTTTAGATTCAATCCCCAAAAAGTGATTTGGGGTACATGGGAGCATGAACCTAGTACTTGTGTGAAACACCTTAAAGCAGCCTTGCCTTTTCCTGAGAACACATGGCTGCAGATCAATATTTGCTCCTTAGAGTACCAACTATAGAAAATCCTGATTTACACAAACTGAATGTTGCAAATTGAATTAACTAATTCACATTTTGTTGCTTCATTTCATCTATTCAAGTGAAAAATTTCAAGGTTTCTTGGCTAAATCTACATGGTGACAATCCTTATGTCATTTTAATTTGCTCTGTTTCATATTCTCAGTGAAGAGTATTTTCTGGTTTAAAAAACATATTGAGCCCATCCTTTTGCAAAAGCACTTGTGAAACCAAAATAAATGAAAATTTACAGACACACCAATGATATATATCTACAAATCGTATCAATAGAGATGTCAGAGATATGTTGATATTTCTGAGAGCAGCTGAATCCAATTCTCAGTGGTCAGAGTCAGTGGATCGCCAATATCTTGAAACCATTTGTACACATGATCAATAGGAATTGGTTATTACATTCTCAGAAATAAGAATTTTGTCCATTTCAATTGCATTAAAAACTATTCTGCAAAATACGTTACACTTTAATCAAAGCAAATTACATTTTTTTTGCCATTTCTGACACAATCAATAGATTTTAATGGGTGAATTTGATTTTTTTGTAAAATAAATGTGCAAGAATAAAAAAGTTGATTTCAAAATTAAGTTTTATAACATAAAGAATAATCTAATATTGTTGATAATTCATAGAATCTTTGTGCTTCTGGTATGAAAAGGAAGCAGGTGGAAAAATGATTTGCAAGGGCAGTAATATTCAAAACTCTAAGCCCACTTTCTATGACCTCTTGAAGTTGCTCATGACTTCCATGGGGATTACAACACATAGTTTGAGAACCCCTGCTTTGGATGGACACAATGCAGTAATACAGAAAGCATTTCCTGTTGATTTCTTTGTCCATTTTAAACATATCTAGAAGCCCAACTAGGAGTGAAGAGTCAGCCACTACAGTAAGTACTATACATTCTATATATACCAGTCTTCTTCAACCTGGCATTCTCCAGTAGGACTGTAAACCACTTTAGATCCAGTGCCCTGGAGAGTTTGGGAAACAAAGTACTTGTCTGAAACTCTTTAAAGCAGGTATTTTAAAGTCTGCAGCTATCTAAAGTAGCTGCTTTAAAAGAATTGCAGATAGGTACAAAGTTCGCACATGCTCTGAATAATGTTTTTGGAACTGAATTCAAAGCAATGCACAGCCTTGTTCTCCAGATATATTGGACTACAGATTCCCTTGTCCTCAACCACATTAAAAAGTTTTCCTTGCTGAGTATCTCAAGAACTTATGTGCTAATATAACTATACCTCCTCCTTGTAAATATCAAGTTTCTAACAAGGAAGAGGTGGTTGAGTTCCTACTCTTGGACTGGAACCCCATTATCATGAACAAAGTTGCCAAGTTCTTATTGGCAGCTATTGTTATAAGGGTTAAGATGTCCTAATCCTGGAATTACTGTATATAATGAAGAAGTTCTTTCATTCTTTTATTTTAAATTTATTGTTATTGTCCTGCTCTGTTTGATTTTGTTTTATTATGTTTACTTTCTATACATGTAAATTTTAACTAGTAGGTCCTTAGGGTTTTATTTGTTTCTATTGTATTTAAGCCTGCTTTTAGATGTTGTTTTATTTAATGTTGAAACTACTTTGTTTTTTGTTTTATCCGCACTCAATCGTGGCTGATTCTGCGGCGACTGCCTAGACGAGTCCCTGCAGTTTTCATGGCAAGGTGTTTCGGAAGTGGTTTGCCATGGCCTCCTTCCTAGAGCGAAGCCCAGCTGGCGAGCGCAGGGAGGCGGGGTTTTCCATTGCTTCGCGCCGTTTTCAGGCGTACACGGCTTCCACGTTACCGGCAACTGGTCCCATCTCCCATGCAAGGCGCTGCCAGTGTTCTTCCTCCCACCGGGGTGAGAGTACCCATTTATCTACTCGCAGATGCTTTCGAGCTGCTGGGTTGGCAAAAGCTGGGGATGAGACAGGAGCTCACTCTGCCACATGGAGCTGGGCTCAAATCGCTGAAGTGTTGACCATTTCTGGCCAGCAACTTTCAGCATCATTAAGCCACTGCACCACCGCGTCCACTTTGTTATTTACTGTAAGTAAATAAGTAAGTAAATAGATAAATAAACTGTAATTTAGCATTGTGGTTTATAAATGATCATAGCACAAAGGTCTGAATTAAATCCCACTATTTTTAAAGATATCCTGTGGCTCTTTGCTGGACTCTCAATTGTTCCATTTTCTCATTCTGCTATGATTTCCATCTTCTGCCTCAAAGATATAACATATAGTTCACCAGAGTCACTGAATTTCTATGTGGTCCTTCTTTATCCCTGAACTATTTGAACTGCCAAGAAAAGGGTTCGCTCCTTCTACAGGACTCATGGGTCAAATTAGCAAACACATTAGCTTTTAAAGATGCCGCAGGAATGTGCAAACATGATCCCATCCATCTTGGAAGATACCACACCTATATTGGTTAATGCTAGTCTTCAGCGCTAGTAAATTGTTGATGTACAATCTACTGCATGAGCATTTGTCCAAAAATCACCTTAAATGGGATCTATTCCAAAATAAGGTTGTAGGAATTGTATCCCTATTCCTATTCTCTTTGCTAGGCTACCAAATCTGTACTTACTAGAAATCTGGATGCCCACATGATGGCAGCAAAGAGTTTTGACATCTCTCTGCTGCCATATAGTGGGCATCTGCATTTCCACATGACAGACCTAACAGTTTTTTTTTTATTCAGAACATAGCTGTGGTGCCATTCAGTGCAGATTTCTTCTTAATTAAGCAACCACCATCAAGACTGCAATTTTTCTGGATGTCATTTATGGAGTTTTGTCCAGGCGGTCATGCCTCTTTTAAATTATGTATTCTTTTCAAAATTGTAAGCTGCCTAGAGTCTTTCTGGAATTGGGTAGCCTCAAAATCCAATAAATAAAGGAAATAAGTATTAGATTTCAATCCTGCACATACCCAAAGAACAAAATAGGACTTATTTCTGAATGGACATTGCTCCTGCAGTTTATTGGTCTGGAATGTCTGCCAGGAAACCTCCCCAACTCTACACTATTACACAATGTGAATGACTGCCCTTTGAGCAAGGACAGGTGGCCCGCTGGAAATTGCAGGACTGGAGCTCCAGTCAGCACAGCTAATACTAAGCGCTGGAGGGGGCTGCGGCTGAACAACTAAAGAGCCCTGGCTCCCGGCTGTACTAAGCAGCTGTCTGGTCCTTCTGTCCTTCTCTTTTCTAACAGAAGCCTGTTATAGACCCCCAAAGCGGGGGGGGGGGGGGGGGGGGGGGGGGGTGAACCCACCCTTGAATTGATCTCAGCTTCTGGTGACTTCATGGTTGTCCAGGTTCTTTTCTAGGGAACAATACAAAAGTAGGCTGATGTTGCCTTTTTCCAGTTTTGCTGACTTCTCCGTCTAGCCCTGGTGGAGAAGTCAGAGTGGTGTAGGGGTTAAGGCAGTGTTTTTCAACCTTGGCGACTTTAAGATGTGTGGACTTCAACTCCCAGAATTCCCCAGCCAGCATGTGCCAAGGTTGAAAAAGACTGGGTTAAGCTGTTAGACTGGCACCAGGGAGACCCGGGCTGTAGTCCACCCTCAGCCACAGAGGCATCCTAGATGACTTTGGGCCAGTCACTTTCTCTCAACCCAACCCATCTCACAAAGTCATCGTGGGGAAAAAACAGGAAGAGGAAGCACTAGGTAGTTCCGTAAGACAGGCGGGGTATAAATCTAAGGGACATCAGGCCTACAATCACAAGTCAAATCATGCCGCAAACCGCCGTTATAATTTTGTACCTCTCGGCTCACCGTCGTCTTGTGTTCTTGGGTAAGCCGAGATGACTCTGCGGGGCCTTTGCTTCTAACGAAACACGGAGGGAGGGTAAAACCCGAAAGGGGTCGTAGGGCGTTTACTTCCGAGTATCCGGAGATCCGGAAATAAGTTTGTCCCAGGCGAGGCGCCATCCGGCTAAGATGGCGCCTCCCAGAGACGGAGACCATGAGCGCCGCCATTGCTGCCCTCTGGGGGTGGGGAGGAGGAAGAGCCGCCGCCGCCGCCGCCGATGGCCGATTTTAAGCACTGGAAAGAGCAGCTGCTGTCGCGCGCAGACGCAAGCCGGAAGGGCAGCGTGGACGAACCTATAGAGGGGATCGTCAGGCTTCTGAATGGCCGCGAGACTTTCTGCACCACCAGCTCGTGCTCGGGGCGCGTGGTGGTGCTGGAGCAGCCCCCTGCCGCCCACTCGGCCGCGGTAAGCCCACCTTCGGCCTCGGCTCCCTTTTGCCCCGCAGATGTGAAGCCGAGCTGAGGTTGGGTGGAACCGCTCGGTCTCCTCCTCCTCCTGCTCTGTGTTCCTGTGGGGTTGTTACCTGATAAAACAAGTGCCTGGGCGTTAACGCACTGCTTTAGGGAAACCCTCCGCCGGGATAAGGCTGTACCCCGTCTGGGTTGCAAAGCTCCGCGCGGCCACTAGACGTCTGCAAAGGGTTGGGATTTTCTCCCCCTCGTTGCTGGCGCCCGGAATTTTGCAGCCCAGAGTCTGGAAGCCCCGTCCTGCGTAAAACTGGGTGGGTGCTGAGTCAACACCACTGGTCCGTCGGACAAGCCGTTTCTGCCATTCCCGTTCGTGCTGTGAGAACTTGATTTCATTCCTCTTTCAGATTGTTGGAATTGAAGGAGGAGCTCAGTGAACTGAACACTGAAAAGCCACCTTTGGACAGATCCCCTGAAATATTCCAAAGGGTAGAAGCTTCCTTTTTTTTTGCTTTTGCTTTTTGTGCCTTCAGGTTAGCGTTGACTTCTGGCAACTGCCTGGACTAGTCCCTGTAGATTTCGTGGAAAGGTTTTTCAGAAGAGGTTTGCCATTGCCTCCTTCCTAGGGCTGAGAGAGAGTGACTGGCCCAAGGACACCCAGCTGGCTTTTGTGCCTGAGAAACTCACAGTCTCCCAGTTTCTAGCCTGATGCCTCAACTGCTACACCAAACTAGCTAATTGTCCAGAATTCTTCACCAGCGTGATAATGATAAAGCAGAAACACCCAGAACCTGGTGAGATGCTTTGGACATAACTCACATCTTACAGTCCCTCTAAAAAAGGAGATGGGACACCTCATACATTAAGTTAGTCGTAGGTGCTTCAGGTTGCACCTGACATACTGAAGTATTGGCCTAACCCTCTCTCCTTTTGAAATATAATGGCAAGATATGCCTTATTCCGAGTTTTAAGTGCCACTGCTTCAACCCATTCAAGGTTTGTTCTGTCAGAGATCAATGTGATATGAGCCCCACAAACATGACTAATTACTCTTTTTTCTCTAACTAGCCAGCATGTGCAGCTTAAAACTGATTCATTTGCTGCGTTTTATTCCCCTGTCCTCTGGCTTTTCTTCTTCAGCGTGTTAGGAAATTCTACCGTTTTAATGTTGGAAACTTGGGGATACAGCAAGTAGTTCTGAATACATTTCTAATCTAAGAGATTTGTACTGTGTATCAAACTTTTTTCTAACTAGGATACTGTTGGCTTTGAAATACAGAAGCAAAGCTGCACTTGGCTTATGGTGACCCACCAATTATGTACTACAAAAGATGTGGTAAGGGCCAATACATTATTTATTACACAAACTTTTAAAATGTTGCTTGTTCTGTATACTAACAATATTGTAGGAATTATCAAGTTTGTATAATTCATTTTATATGACTAAATTAGTAAGGAAAGAGGCCTGCTCTTCCATGCCATTGTCTTATGTTTGTGACTCATACTGGTCTTTATCAATCGAAGTAAATAAATGGGAGTTATTGTATCTCCTTTTTTATAGAGTGGTGAGGAGTCATTCAATGAATGATAGACATGACTGGCTTTCTGATGCTTTTTCCATCATAGATTTTTAATTCATGTGTAATGGCTACTGCTATCTTAAATTTGAGGCTATCTAAGAAGCTGAATATATTCAAATGATCAAATCACCTTATTTATTTCAATATTTTAAATGTTTTGATGATGACTTCTGGTGAAGTTTGTTCCTATCACCAGAAGTCATCATCTAAACATTTAAAATATTGAAATGTTTTGATGATGACTTCTGGTGATAGGAACAAACTTGTTTTAAAGCCTTAGCAATAACAGATTTTTCTGGAATGGAGAAATGCAAGCTTCTAAAAGGAACATGCACATTTATGTATTATTGGGAGCTTAGATGAGACATGTACCAGTTTCCAGTATTGATCAGATAAGGATATATACTCCTGGTTGCACAAAAATAGCTAAAGATATTTTAATATTTATTTTATTTGTATTTATTTATCTCTCCCCGCCCATCTCCCCCCAATGCAAATACAATGCAAATATGACAATTGTCATCTGTACATATTAATTATTTTGATGAGGTCTAGTTTTTGTTTTGATTGTTTAAAAATATGGGAAAATGTTACTGTGTTTCATTTAAAGTTGACACAGCTGATTCCAACATGAGGTCTAGAGGAGGTTCGAGCTGCGTTTAAGAAATAGCTGCTGAATAGCATAAATGTACACTTCATTTTAGAATAACAGTAGCCATGATTCTGCATTGGCAATAGGATGAACTTCACTCCTGCCTATAAGAAAATGTCTAACTGAAGTTACTTCTAGACATTCTGTATGACTCAGTAGAAAAAATAATTTGTCAAGAGTTAACTGCCTATAAAATAAATTTCATAAATTGTAGTCCCAATTCATAAATAAATACAGTTGTTGAACAATTGTACCCAAAAAGCATGTATCAGTAGTTCTACATCCAGCTGGAGAGAAGCATCATGTGGCATATTACATGGCTGCATTCTAGGCTCTGTGCTGTTCAGCATTTCAGTAAATGACTTGGACAAGAATATATGATGATCAGATTTGCGGATGACACAAAGATAGGTCAGTGGGAAACATCTTAGAGAGCAGTATCAAAATCCAGAAGGTTCTTGACAAGCTGAAACAATGGGAGGAATAAGCAAGATGAATTTCCATAGGGACAAATGCAAGGTCTACATTCATTTAGGAAAAATGAAAGATACGAGTATAGCATCAGCAAGGGACTATGTTGGGCAGAAGTACATCTGAAAAGGAACTGGATATCTTGGTAGATCACAAGTTAAACATGAGTTAACAGTATAATGCAGCTGCATAAAAGCCAAATGCAATCTTAGGCTTCACCAACAAGTATAATATCAAGATTAAAATAAGTCATTGTTCTTTCTTCTGCATTGGTCAAACCTAGAATGTTGTATCCAGCTCTGAGTACTGCATTTTAGGAAGGACTGATGAATTTATAGTTTTGATGATTAGAAAGAATAGGTTATAGAAAGAAGGGGATTGTGATATAATCTTAGGGAGGTTTGATTAGAATTGTATATATAACTGCCGAGAGGAAGATCAGAAGCCATTTCTTTATATTTCTTTTCATGTTTTCTGTTCTTTTCTGTTCTTTTTCATTTTTCTGTCTCCTTTTTTCTTTGTCTCTTTTTTCCTTTCTATTTTTTTCACATTTACTATATCTTTTTCTTTGATTGTACTTCTTATGTAAAATCTTTTCATAAAAACTGTATTTTAAAAAAAGGAAGGACTGATGAACTGGACCACATCCAAAGGAAAGCAACAAAGATGATAAGGGGCCTGGAGGGCAAAATGTACAAGGAATGGTAGAAGGTATTGGGTTGTTTAACTTGGGGGAGAGAAGACAGAGGGGAAACGTAACAGACAGCTCTCTTTAAGAATCTGAAGGGCTGAAATATAGAAGATGGGGCAGAATTCTTCAGAGTTCTGGAACACTGTTTAAACTACAAAGAAATAGTATCTGGTCAAACACCAGGGGGGAAAATCCTCACCGCAAGACCTGCAAGATACCTACCTCTGAAGGTGATGGCCCCCCTTCACTGGACATGTTTAAACAGAAGCAGGAAAGCTATTTATCAGGGATGCTGTAGAAGTGGATTCCAGCCCTTGGCAGGGGGTTGGACTAAATGATTTCCAAAATGCCTTCCAATCCTAACATTCTAGGATATTGTGATCTGAAGAGGAAATAAAAATTGATTGAATGAAAGCATTCATAGGGAAACAGTGCTTTGTATTATCCCTTTCTTCCAAACACCAGTTTTAAAAAATTAAATAGGTCAATATGTAGATAAGATTTTTACATAAAGTAATAAAACATTTGGGGTCAGGAAAGTTTTTGAAGTATTCTGTAAACATGCATTATCACTCTAAATGTGTACTTTTTTCCCAGCACTGCAGATCTTGTAGCTAGATCGAGTTTATTATTTTTCAAGGTATTATTTGAATGACATCTGGAAACTGATAGACCAGATTTGATCAGAGGCTTTTCTTAAAACTGGATGTGCAGACCTTAGAGTTATAGCTATATCATACAGCATCAAGATTTCTAAAATTCTATCATCAGCACACAATCTTTTGGAAAGTTAAATCCCAGCAGAATGTTATACTAAAGAGAATAAAAACCAAGCACAGCATATACCAGACAGAGTATATGAGTATTACAACATGTAGAAATGTATTTTAATTAGCAAGTCGAATCAGCTTCTGTCATGCAGTGTTTTTAGATGCTAAATAAGCTGCTTATATTTCATTGCTAACAGATGTAGCATTGATATTAACCTTTTGCTATTTCTTAGCTTACAGCCTTGCAGAAAGCTGCAGCTGATGCCATCTTCAAATTTGAACCATTTGTTCTCCATGTACAATGTCAAGACCTGCAAGATGCACAACTTCTGGTAAAGCAGTGTGCTTAAAATACTATTATTGCTACATAAGTAATGTTTTATTCCTCCCTGTTTTCACACCTAAAGGCATTATCTGAAGCATTATGTGTTAAATAACTCGGACTGTGACAATGCTGATGTGGGAAATAGGTTTTCTATTGTTTCTACAGATACAATGCTCATAAGTGAAAGCGTGTTTTGTTGGTATTATGATGCGGAATGAGAATTTCAGAAACATAGTTCTGTATGGCTGGCAATGTTTGGTGGCTATCATCAAATTATGTAGTCATTACTCATCAATACTTGATTTTGGCTATGAGCTTGTATCAGTAAGGAACTATTGTAAGCTCCTTTTTATTATTTTGATTCACATCAGCAGGAATATGCTACATTTGGGTCTTCTTACTGTTTTACTATGCTGTAGATAATATAAACAGAATTAAAGAAAGGAAGAGATCACAAGTATGGACATTTTTAGAGATCAAGATGTCTGAACCCTGAAACATCTCATTCCAGCCTCACCAAAAGTAACTTAAGCTGTTCCAATCTGACTAGCAGTACTCTAACCTTTTAGCTGGTTTTGATTGCAAAACAGAAATCAGAATGGCCAGTTTTGAGGTAGAAATACTTCCAGTAAGGTGAAATCAGTACTGTTCTAAAGTCAGAATATTTGCACTTCAAAATGATTTGCACAGCTCTTTTAAAAAGACATTTTGTCTCTAATTGGCAAGTTGTCCATTCTAAGTTATAAGCTGCTTTTAAGGCACCATGATTCTTCATAATTAGTTTTAAGCATGCCGTGATGGGTTTGCTGAGAATTTGCTGAACTGTTACTTCTATTTTTCTGCTTCAGAACATGGATTCACACTGCTATGGGCCTGTTATTATAAACATTTGATTATTTACTTTTTGAAGTACTTCTTTCTGCTATACAGGTAGTCCTCGCTTAGCAACTGCCTCATTTAGTGACCGCTCACAGTTAACAACAGTGATAAAAATGTAACTTAGCAACCAATCCTCACATTTATGACCTTTGCAGGTCCGTAAAGCAAAGGAAAGCTGAAGTAAGATCATAAGCACAGTTGTGGTTTCATTTAGCAACCACTTCACTTAATGACTGAGTTGTGGGTCCCGATTGCAGTCACTAAATGAGGACTACCTGTAATATTTTGGAATAATGCAGAACAAAATCTACTTTTTTGATTCAGACATAACAAATAATCTATCTTCCTGTAAATATTTAGGAGAAAAATCAGTATTTGAAAATACACTTTGTTTCAGTGTTGTATATCTTTCCAAGAAAGTTCTTAAATTGACATTATATTTTGATGAAGTATGTTGTTTATGCCAGCTGTTTGGTCTTATCTTTGCAGCACACTGTGGCTATAGAAGCTGGATTCAGAAATTCTGGTATAACAGTTAGCCGGAAAGGAAAAATTATGATGGTATGTTGTTTTTTCTACTTTGACCGAAGGGATATGTGCAGCTCCTCCTGAGCTCATTGCTAGGGTGTAACTGCATACAGACCACACCAAGGTGAACCAGCATCTCTACATGGAAATTAAGTGCATGACCATCACAGGCCCCCTGATGACAGGAACACTTCTTTGACTTGCTCTTGTCACAGCATAAGATGACCATCACCATAGTACCCAGTAATAAACCAAGTACATCACATCAGTGTGACAAGTTTTGAAAATATATGTTCTAAATTGACAAGTTGAATCAAGTCCTTAAAAGCTTTAAGTCAAATCTTGACTGCAGCCAAGAGTCCCAACCATTTTCAGAAGTAGTCATATATTAATCATCAAAACAATGTGAAATATTTGGTAATTACTAAAAAAAATAAATTTTGTGTGTGTGTGCGTGTATATTCCTTTGTCATGTCAAATATCTTTTCCATTAAAGACTAAAAGATTAAGTTTAATGAATTTGCCTATCCTTAGAACTGTTTCCATGTCAGACCTCTTAAAAAATATACTTTATTGCTTTATTATACAAGAAAAAAGAGAGGAAAAAAACCCCAAAAAATAAAAGGAGAGAAAAAAAAGTAAAAGGAGTAAAATTCCTCCCATTGGAGGGAGATGGGCGGAGAGAAATTTAATAAATAAATAAAAACAAAAACATACTGTGTTACATATAGGAAATCATTCAGCCTTATTTTTAAACACCGTTAAACCTTGACTACATTGACCAGTCTTTCCATTACACTGCTAGAGAGCCAGAGCATAAACAGAAAGCAAATAGGTATTAGTGAACCAAGGATGTAAATATGCATCCTTGCATATGCAAAAATTAACAACACTGAAAAATAATCTTTCTAGCTGCTCCCATCCTCAATAAGTCCATAATTCTTCATTTAATAAGTTGCAAGTTTTTGATATAGAATTCAAAAATGTATTTACATCTTTTATAAGATTTAATAAAAGCTGGTTAATATGTTTCTCCTTTTGCATCAATCTAGGCTGTCCGAAGTACCCATTGCTTAGAAGTTCCATTAACCCAGAAAGGAAGACTAATGGTCAGTGAAGAATATGTTGATTTTGTAGTTCAAGTTGCTAATCGGAAGATGGAAGAAAATGGGAAGAGAATTGACAGGTTTGTTAGCAATGTATAAAATGTATATATTTATATATATATATATATATAATTTTAAATTACTATATATAATAATAATGTAATAATTATGTATATATTAAAATCTATCTATCTATCTATCTATCTATCTATCTATCTATCTATCTATCTATCTATCTATCTATCTATCTATC